TATACTTTAATTATATTAATAATATTGAGGAGAGTTGAGTTAATTTTAAATTTGATTTTGAATTAAAAAAAGTGATTGAATATTTAAATTTTAATTTATATCCAACCAGCCTTGTTATAAATTTTTACTTTGTAAGCGCAATAGTTATATCTAAATCAACATGTCAACATAAAAAGTGCAGTTTGGAGGAAGAAAATATTTCTCTTAATTTGTTCTTCCCATTTTCTCTTATTTTGCCCTAACCCATTTTGTGATCCGATTTGTCTTCCCCAGTAGGACCGTCGGGTTTTTTTTTACAACGACCAGTCCCTTGCTGCGCGTCTCAACCTCTATTTTGTGTTGGAGCTTGTCTTTTCATGCGGGTGGGTAGAATTACTGGTCTCAAGGGGATCTCGTTGCTCTTCCTAGTTATCTTACTGAGATGGGGTCACCCATCTCCATGGTATCGAGACAACGGTGGGAGACATTTATTTAGATTTTGGTGATACTAGTGAAGAATCAACAGTTGCAGTGGGAGACATTTATTTAGATTTTGGTTTAGATAAGTTTTGATTTTGAAAGATTGTCTTTATGTTCCTAGTTTTAGAAAGAACTTGATTTTAGTTTCTAATTTGTTTATGAACTATTTTTCTGCTATTTTCGATAATAAAGTTGTTATTCGTTTTGGCAAAAAGTTCATATGTTCTGGTTCATTAGTAGACAATCTGTGTATCCTAGAACCAAAGTCTTACCCACTGCAATATAAACAATTACTTATTTCATTATCTAATCGGAATAAGAGAAATGAACCTCCCAAAATGAATGAAATATATCTTTGGCACCTAAGACTTGGTCATATAAACATGAGAAGGATACAAAGGTTAGTGGCAGACGGGCCTTTAGGGTCATTGGAAGTCGAGGTCATTCCAACTTGCGAGTCATGCGTAGAAGGAAAGATGAGTCTTTAAATCTAAAAGGATAGAGCCGAAGATTTGCTAGGGCTCGTTCATTCTGACTTATGTGGTCTTATGTCTGTTCAAGCGAGAGGTGGTTTTGAGTACTTCGTTACGTTTATCGATGATTACTTGATATATGGATACATTTACCTTTTGCACCACAAGACTGAATGCTTCGAGAAGTTCTTGGAGTAGAAGACAAGTGTGGAGAAGCAATTAGGAAAAAGTATCAAGTCTTTACGGTCCAATCGTAGTGGCGAATATCTCTCGGGCGAGTTTAGGAACTATTTGACGGATAATGAGATTACGTCCAAGTTATCTGCGCTAGACACACCTCAGTAGAATGGCTTGCAGATCGAATGAATAGGACACGTATGGAGATGGTTAGGGCAATGATGAGTTGAAGTACATTACCAGATCCGTTCTAGAATATACCGTAGAAACATCAGTGTACATTCTGAAAAGGGTGCCTTTCACATCAGTACCGTCTACACCATTGGAGGTGTGGTCTGGGCACAAATCTACTCTAAGACATCTCATGATATAGGGTAGTCCAACACATGTGCTGAGAACCGATATTGATAAGATAGAACCTAGAACATAAGTTAGGTTGTTTGTGGGATATCCTAAAGAAACGAAATGTTGTTTATTTTAGAGTCCTGATAACCAAAAAGTGATCGTTTGCACGAATGCTAGGTTTCTGGAAGAAGACTATGTTATGGATCATAAGCCCAGTGGTAAACATGTCCTAGAGAAGATAAAGGGAGTGAGTACTACAATACCAAGTGCACATGATGTCACACCACATAGTACTGCAATACGTATCACTGATGATGCACCTGAGCAGGTAAAACCTTTTCGTAGTTGGAGGGTTATCCGGCAGCCCGATCAATTCTTGGATCTGAGAGAGTCTTCTGTGGTTGTCTCAGATATGCTTGAAACCGACCCATGGACATACAATGAGACACTCCAAGATCGGGACACAGAGTCTTGGCAAAGAGCGATGAAATATGAGATGGAGTCTATGGATGTTAATTAGGCCTGAGATCTTGTAGAGCCACCCTGTGGCGGTTGCGCCATTAGATACAAGTGTTTTTATAAGAGAAAAAAATGAGCATATAAAAATGTTGAGACCTTCAATGCTAGGCTTGTTGCGAAGGGGAATACTCAGGAAAAAGAGATTGATTATGAGAAAACATTTTCGCCGATAGCTATGTTAAAATCCATCAAGATTCTATTGGTTGTGGCCACATGTAGATTATGAGATTTGGCAAATGGATGTTAAAACTATTTTCCTTAATGAGAATTTGGACGAGGACATGTACATGCAGCAACCAGAAAGGTTCATTGCAAAGGGGATAAGATATCTTGTCTGTAGGCTAAAGCAGTCTATTTATAGAGTGAAACAAGTTTTGAGGTCTTAGAACATCCGTTTTGACGAGGTTGTCCACTCATATAAATTTACCCAATGTAGGATGAGCACTGCATTTACAAAAAAAGTGATGAAAATGTGGTGGTGTTTCTTGTGCTATACGTAGATGGCATTCTTCTCATTAGAAACAGTGTGAAGAAGTTTTCAGATGTGAAGGTATGATTATCCAAGTAGTTTTATATGAACAATCTGGTAGAAGTATGACATGTTCTCGGAATCAAGGTCATTCGAGACCAAGAGAAGAGAAAGTTGAAGACGTTGAGGACGAAGATGAAATAGACAAGTCCTCATAGGAGAAATGGTCGCTTTCGCTCGAGATGGCGAAATCTGAATAACAAAAGAGAAGAAAACAAAAAATTTCTTTTTAAGGTTTTGGGGCGGAGAAGAACAAGGAAAAGTAAGAAGAGTTCTCGCGACGAGTCGAACGAAGTAATCAAAGCAGAATAGGAAAAATCAAAAAATCATGCAATTCAAGTAAAAAATACAAATTGAAATTGAAAAGCAAAAGACTTACTTATCGTCATGGATTGGAGGATGTTCGGTTGAAGTGGCAAGTGAATAATCGAACATTACACTGGAGAGCACAAGTGTAGCAGAGCACGAGGTCGCCAGAAATTGTTTGCAGAAAGGTCGGGAGTTAGGGTGCAAATATTATTGAGAAAATAGGAAGGGTAAAACAACTGGTGTAAGTCGGTGTTAAGGGTATTTATAGGTAAAGAAGGAGGTGAGTGAAAAGGTTGGTCAATCGCTGGCCGTTAGATCAACAAGAAAATCTACGGTGAAAATTTGTAAGAGAAAATCTGAATGGTTACAACCGTTGGGTTAAAGGTGGATTAATGGCCCAGATTTATTGAGCAAGTTGAAAGGCTTGAAAGGTTAGCCGTTAGATCGGAGGCAAATTTAGGGGATAAGGCATTTATTGTGCATGTTACGCAAGACATCGCGGATTACGGATCAATGATATCAACAAAACGTATGATTGGATAGGTCTGACTGAGTGTACAGACGCGTAGCATGAATTTTGAATTTTGAAAATGAGGCCGAAAGAGAGAAGTCACATATTTGAAATAAAAATGGATGAAGTGGCCGAAAAACAAAAAGAGTGGCATAGCTTCAAAGGCAGAAGATAAAAATCTACTCTCTGATCGAGTATTCGAACTCGACCAGAGGGGAGGGGAGGGGACTAGATGATATGGGATACCATACCTAAGGGAGTGAACCGGTGGAGTAGGCCGAACAAAACATCTGGTCAAACGAAAATCGAATGAGTGGTCGTGGTTGAACACCATAAGAATAAGAGCGTATGAATCAGAAGGCGCGTAAAGTGGATTTCGGTACAAGGAGAGTAGGTCGAGCCAGGACCCTGGGATAGCCCGGTCTTGAAGTAGTCTCAGCTTTACCTCGAATCGACCTAGAGTTTGTCGAATCCTCGAAGACGAGAAGATCTCAAGGGAATCAAATCCTCACGTGGTTAGGAAACACGACATCGTCTGATGGGTACACAACTTATAACAGTCTCTGACACACTTCTAGTATGTGTTGCACGATCGGGTAGCTAGGGCAGCCAACTCAGCACATCTGGGCAACCTTCTTGAAGTATGTACCTATTTTTAGCTCAATTAACCATATTTTTAGCACCTCTTGACTATGTATGGTTAATAGAATTATCAAAAAGGATGGAATTGTTAAAAAGGATTTAGGCTTGTCCCATCCCGCCAGATGGGCTGCTTGGGCTATGATTTTTTTTGGGTAGGCCTAAACCGGCCAACCTGCAAGGGGAACAGATTGTGCCAGGTAAGTTAGCCTGTGGGTTGTCCCGTTGTTTGCACAAAAAAAAAAAAAGTTGCGACGCTTAAGGCTAAAAATACAATAGCCTAGCTTAATCACTATATCAATTCGACAATCTTCAAAATATGCCCATCCCCCACAACATTCCCTATTTTTAATAATGTGTATATGACTTGCTTGTGAAGCTTAATGTGGTGTGTATGAGATTTGATAGACTATATTTTTGGACAAGTTATCTTTTTTTTTTTTATGTATTTTATTTTAGTTTGGTGAATTATTAATTATCTAGCTATTACTATTCTCGTAACTGACGACTTGCAGATATTTCAACTTTTAATTTCTCATTGTTAACAGTTAATCGGTAGCGAAATCGATCACACTGATTGATTTTAGGTTTGAAATTGAATTGAACCACATATTTCGGTCCAATTTTTTTACTTTTATATTGGACGAACCAAAATTTCGATTCGATTCGATTTCGACCGATTGACCACTCTAACACAAAACCTAACATTATACACCTATTCATGCCAATGGCCCATTAAATGTATTGAGGCGGCCCATTAGGGTTCTAACCTCAGAACACATCTTCTCGTTCCACACGTATTGGCTGGCTATCCCTTTTCCATCTTGCTTTATCCCTATATATGCCAACAGTATTTTTCTTGATTTTCTTAGTTTCAGGTCAAGCATGGAGCACACAAATTAGCCTAACCTAAAAGAAATCCATGGCCTCTGATCGATTAGATGTGCCACTCTTCACTTCCATCTCACAAGCTTGAACAAAGTTCTCTTTCCCCTATTTATTTCTTTGCAATTTACGAGAAAAATTAGCTCAAGCTTTCATGGCGGGCCTCACGGGCAAGACCCAAAAAATTAGGGTTTCGTACGCCGATCCGGACGCCACCGACTCGTCGTCGGACGAATCGGAGGCCGTGAGATCGAAGAGGAAGATCCACGAGCTCGTCGTCCTCCAGAGGAAATCGAGGATCAATTCCGCCCCAGAGGAACCTCCGGCGGGGGAGGGCCCGAGGATTAGGCTGCAAACCAAGCCTAATTCCACCTGGAATGTGAACCACTTCCCCGGGGTCCGTCGGAGGAAGTGGGGGAAGTTCGCGTCGGAGATCAGGGACCCCCTGTCCAAGAAGCGCATCTGGCTGGGGACCTACAACACGGCGGAGGCGGCGAGAGACGCCTACGTCGCGAAGAAGGCGGAGATCGAGGCGAGGTCATGGGCCGGGCGGGGCCCCGACTGGGTCCCCTGCGAGGAGAAATCGGCGAATCGGGACTCGCCGACCTCCGTGCTGGAGGTCGGGGCGGCGGAGGAGCTCTCCGCCGCCGCAGAGGAGGGGGCTCCGGCTGGGTTCGGGTTTTTTCGGGGCGTGCGGGTCGTGGACGAAAACGGGTTTCTGCTGGGCGGGTTCGGGAAGCTTGATGATCTGAGTATCCGTGCAGATGAGGATGGCGTCATCTTGGCAGACTGAGTTTTTTTTTTTTTAATT